GCCCCCGCCTCCGCCACCGCCACCACTCGCATCCGCCTCCAACCCGAATTCCATACCGTTGCAGAGTGTCCAGCAGGCCTTACACCTGCACATACATCCTCATCAAACTGAAGACTTCCGCTCGCCCAACATCGCGTTTTCCCCGGTTCCTCACTCGACGGTACATCCCATGCAATTTCACCATCATCAGCATCAGCATCAACACCAGCATCAGCATCAGCATCATCACGAAATGGCATCGTACCGCGTGCCTATGGCGACGCAGCAATCACCATCCTCGTACACGGTGATCGCGCCCTCGAGATGTATTCCAGCGAGTAACCAGGATGGTTATCCGTTGTATCCGGCTCACCTGGCACGCGGTGCCGCTACCGCTGGTACCACCGCGACTGCTGTCGCCGTCGCTGCGGACGTGCAAACGCAAACGATTTCCATCGCGGCCGCTTCATCGTTTTCATCATCGTCATCCTCGTCGTCTTCCTCCTCATCGTCCTCGTCATCGTCTTCGGCATCGGCGTCCGCCCTGTCGTCTTCGTCCTCGTCCATATCGGCCGCTGCCACCGCTTCCCTAAAATGCACCGGGATCATGACTAATAACAACAAGAACTGCGAATCGGTTCTGGGTACATCTTACGGTAGCAGCAATGCACAGTCCGTGTCAGGGAACATCGCTCCACTCGCGTGCCCGGCGTCATCATCGTCAGCTGCGACTGTGACAGCCGTCGCCGGGTCTTCGGCAACGGTAATGCAATTACCACGCGTCATTAATACGTGCGCAGTAACAGAACGCGGAGTTCCCGAAGGTGCCGCCAGCATGCCCGTCCGAGACTTCCCACAGTCGGCTCTTGGTCCGGCGAACTCGGCGTCACACGTCCTGCTGATGTCCAACTCTTACGTCGATCCCAATACCAGTCTCATGTCCGCTCCGGCCAATACTCCAAACACGGTATACTACGCCATGAATGTCTGAAGAGATCACGAGTAATTTATAATTGCGAAAAATGTTCGAAACACGCCTGAAAAATCTTGCCTGAATATAAAATGTCTTTACGATGTCTTGTGGATGTTGTCCGGGAAGTATTAACTCGTTCGCTGCTATGACGAGTTATTTTAATGCGATTCGTAAACAACAAAGGCGTACAGTAGAGAGATTCACCACGTCTTTTCCACCAGTGACTGCACACACACACATGACAGAAATTACTCGTTGTCATCTTAAGACAGCAACATTTCTTGAGGAATGATAACTAAAAAAGGATTAAAATGCAGTTCTATCTGAATTCTTTTTCAGATAGAACTTTTTCAATTCGACTTTTGTCTTCTTCGTTTTTCTAATTTTTTTTTACTTTTTATCTATCCATAGTTTCAATGTTGCAATACCTTTCGACGGCTGATTTTGGTCAAAAAAAATCATATCCAAAGAGTCTGTTTCCTTCGATTGATAAACGTACGAGAAATGAATTTTTAAAGAGATGACGAGACTGACGAGAAACGTCTCTGTGTGGGTACCGAAATTTTAAACGTTCTTCAGACACGGAACACACGCATTGCGAACTTTTCACCAATATATATATATATATATATATATATATGTATATATCAAGAATAGAATAAAAACGTATATATGTGTACATGTTGTGCTAGATTTATATTTATATTAAATATTCGACATTATTTTCGTTACTAACGTATGCGACTATCCTTCATGATATATCCATACGTTTTATCGCGGTATAATAACATTAGTTGGAATTATATCACTTTACACAGCTCGTTATCACAATATTGTAATACTGTACAAACTTTCTATGATATTGTAGATATCATCGCGTAGATCTGTGGTTCTAGATTTGTTCCTATCTACAACTTTGTAGATATTGTGACAAAGATATCGATAGTACTTTGTGTTAGATATTACCATCATATTTATGATCTGGCGAAGTTGTTAATTAATCTTCAGTTTTTAGCGACGAAACTTTGTAAATCACAGTTGTTCTAGCCGCCTTAACGTTAAATTGCATTGTACGGGACGACAAAGTGGGAAAAGATTTTGTCACGAGAAAATATGTCGTAAAATTCTCTCCCGTAGAGAACATGGCTGCCACGTGTATTTATATTTCACGAAATTTTTCCAGAAAGGAGAAATTTACTCTCCCATTTTACTGTGTATTTTGTAGTAAAATTGCTTCGAATTTTTCTTCTTAAACGGAGAACGCTGTTCGTGAATGTCACTTATACGCTTCATGCCAAATTAAGACGTATCGATGCCTCTAGTCAGTATAAAATTAGTCTACGATAAGAGATAGACGCAAACGCCAAAAATAAAAAAAAAAAGGAAAGCTGCGATTCACCCTTACAATTAGTAGTTAATTTCTTAGCGCGTCATTTTGATTGACAGGCCGCCGCGCCGGGAATCCCCGGATCGTGTAACGGGAAATACCCTGTGGGCCCATTAGACGTTAATTGAAACCAAAATTAACGTAACGTATCTGTTTACCGGTATGTAGAGAAGCGACGATGTTTAACAGTGACGAAATTTCTTAAGAACAAGTATTATGTACGCACAGGGAGTAAGTACAAAATGCTCTACGATGCTAGAAGACAAAGGTATTTGTTACGACGCGCTCATCCTTCAGTCACACATTTATATGCATTTACACACACACACACACACACACACACACACACACACATACATTAAGAAGACGTACCAGTTTCATCGGGAACTCGTTGAAAGTACAACCATGATTTCATGAATATTATCTCATAGTTCGCGTTCATATATCATCTTATTCTATCGAAGACTTGATGGTATGCAGTATGAATAGACAATATAGGGACATACGAATCTACCCCTTTTTTTAGCGTAGCAACTTTCGCCGTTGATCGCTTCACTTTCGAAGCCCGTACCCCCAAATACATACAAGTAGTCCCTTTAAGATGAGATCGAAGAATAATCGCACGGCCTATTACAATTTACTCAGCGGAAAAACGAAATAGATACTTATTTATTTTCTTCGTGCCAAATCGTTGCAATGACTCGCGATGTAGCAAAGTACATGTCGCAACATTTTTAAGTGATTGAGATATTATAAGGGACAGGTTACGATAGAGATGTTAAACGCGTCTGACAGTCAATTACGGCGAACTTATGATCTTGATAGGAATTAAAAAAGAAACCAAGTGGAACGTTTTTATCACACCGAAAGGATGAGACGGATGCGATTCGATAACAATTTCCATTTAGTAGATGTTAATCGATCGTAACGATGCGACAAGCGTTGGGAGGTGTCACTCTTCGACTTGTTATTTTCCCGCGAGAGTGTTAACACATGTATTGTTCAAATGATAACTTTACATAGTATGCTACTTATCACGGTGATACGTGAAGCATTAAGAACGGCGTATATCGTGAATATAGAAATTATATTATTATTTATAAACACAGTTGATATATATTATATATATATTGTATATTATATTATTTATATTTATATATGCGTAAAAGATATAACGATTAGGTTCGATTCTGTTATAGTGTTATTTAACACAACCGAGAGTTCTCGCATAACGCGGAATTCAATTGGAAAGTGATATGCGAAACTGATTCGCGATTTTGTTGATATAGGGCTTAGCATACATACATAAAGCTCCCTTTTGTCGATGAATTCTACGCGTTTCACTAAATTCACGGATACAGAAAATAACTCTGACCTTTTCGTGAGAAAAGGTTGAGTAGATATATGAAGTAACTCCGGTCTACATCACACATTGGCGGTATATAAATAAATTATGGTAGGTGTGTATATTCTGCGTAAAACAAATGTTGCGTGTCGACAATATAATATGAATCGTTGTATTGGTACGATCTGTTTACTTAATTAACATACTTCACTTTTAGTAATCTTATCGCGACGCGCAAAATGTATGCATCGTGCGATATTGGAATCCGTTCATTTATCGTATGTCTTGTGTCTACATTTTATGGGAACTCAATTTGTGACGTATCAATCACAGGATATACCTGCATAATGTGATTATAATGTGTTTAACATATTTATACCAAAGTTACATTGTTACAAAAATTAATTATACCATTGTTGCAATTATTTTGATATTGTTCCATATTCGAAAACGATTACGAGAAAAACTCGTTTATGAGATTTTAATTTTACTATATTAGATGATTATCTTTTAGATCCGTAGAGACATTTAATGTTCTTATTATTAGAATGTTAATGCTCCTGATATTTTTATACCACGTATTATAATACTACTTTTAGAGGGTGGTAATCAATATTATAAGTATAGTTGTGTGGAAAAACGGGTCACGAGTTCTATTCCAAAGGATAATTTTATAAAGAAGTATCCTCTGTGAATAGAGAGACTCTGCGGTATTATTGTGTTTACTAAAATTATAATATTCTTGTTATGATACTATCACTTTCTGTTTTTCATATTTTTTATTTTCCCCGTTGTTGCTTTCCATCTTGCAACTTTCTTATCTTATTGGAGATTCATGAAATCTCCATGAATTGATTTTAATCGAACGAATCGATTGCTCTTAACACATGTCTCTTAATTATTGATTTTACAGTGAAAAAAATTAGAACGAACTTATATAAGTGTACAAGCCAAGTGTATATTAGTATTAATAATGGAGAATATTCTCCGGATTACCTTCTGAGTAATTTTTTGAAGTGAATCTTCGAAAGACGCGAAGGATATCTCTTGGGATACACTAAACTCGTTCATCTTCCACGTCTCGCACATTTAATCTGTCAAATCTTTCGGCTGGAAACACTACGATCCCTCGGGTAATCGAGAGATACATCTCGTCGCAAATTTTACTTCTCATTAATAATTTTGTAACCAAAGATTTGCTTGCTGCGAATTTGCTTTCGTTATCAAATGTAGTACCTTATCATAAATTTTATTACTTGTTATGTAAGAAATGGGATATTGGTAAAGTTATTCTTGTTTTAATAAGTGAAGATAATAATTTGTAGACTTCTTATTTAATGTTAAAGAGTTTCTGAGGAACTTTACTTGTAAAAACAATTTTTATTATTTATATATTCTTTGTTGACCTTTTCATACACAACATATATATATATTATATGTAGATGTATGTGTATTCTGTGACATTTTATCGAGACATAAGATCTACCATAAATGAACGCCCGTCTGCACATTGTAAAACATGATACATTTCATATACATGGGGTGATTCTCTTGAGACCATCTGTTCCTCATAAAAACAAACTTTATCAAAGTTCTGACTATAAACGAATACCGTGGGTAGTTCGCGACATAGGGAGTAATTTAACGTACGTGCGTGTAATATTCAACGAGAGTACTTAAATGTACAGATTTTCGATTTCGAAAGGTATTTGTAACAACCGCATATATGTATTTTAAGTATTTGCGGCGACTCTCGTTCGAAGGCGAATGCAAGCGTACGCAAAGCGATGTAATAGCGAATCGATTAGTACTATATAAGTCGTGTATCATTTAGGCTATTCGGATAATAATTGTTGTACTTCTTATGAAATTAGAGAATTGCACTTTAACGCAGGATATATACTTTGTTCAACACTCGACGATCTCCGTTCTTTGCATAAGACGACGCGAAGGAATGCAATGTGGAACTCCGCAACTGTTGAAGTCGTGCAGTTACGAGGGAATAATTTAGGGATCGCATTTCTGCATCCCCAGGGCGAAAACGCGATGCATTTACATTCATCCCTTACAGAAATTCAATTTAATACTGAAAATTACTTGTTTTGAACAGTAATGTTTTAATATTCAAAATAAGTAATTAATCATTACTTTCCATTATGAAATTTCTGTAAGGGATGTTAGAGACGCGAATTATAATCAAGGAGGACACGTGGAATTAATCTAAAGGGAAGATCAGAGAGAATCTTTGATTTTCTTTTTTTTTTTTTCTTTACATCAAGCGCTAATCGGACTTCTCGGAAGTTTGATCGACTCCGCAAAATAAAAAGCAGAAGAAAAATTAATGAAAAATTAATCACGCGCTTTGATGTTGAGATCAAGAAAGTTACAAAAAGTTGAATCGATCGATTTGCCTTCCGAGAAGTTCAGTTGTAATTGCGAACGCGCGGAAGAACTCGAATCTGTGAAAAATCGAGGTATTTTCCTCACAAAGTATGTAATTGAACATTTATTACATTTTTTCTTAGCGCACTCACAAGAAATATGCACGTTCACTCATTCATTCATTCATTCACTCTTATATAG